TGAATGCTCCAACAAGGGAAGCAGTCCATACCACAGACTCATAGAATGACAATCGCTTTAAGTAGCACTCAGACCTCAGAATCAGCCCTTAAGGCATTCTGGTCTGGCTGAAAAGCCCAGGGGAACATTTCAGACATGGAAAGCCAAGACATTCTAGCAAAAAAATTGTTCCACATAAAGAACATCTGTGGGTGAGACCCCAGTGGAAAGAAGTGGCCACCAAAGAAGGATATACTTTTCTCTGAAGGGAGGAGAGAACTTCCACTTTGTTTATGACCTTGTCAAGCTAATGGAACCAAAGGCTTCCATCGCCTAGGCAGCTCATGCAAGAACCTTGGGTAATCACTGACATTATACATAAGAGTATTAATTGTTAAATAAACAACAGAGTCTCTGTGTACTATCTTCCCATGCAGAAACTCTGTCCCCAAAGTGTTGTATCATGAAACTTAATAGTAAAACTTGTTCCTAAGAATCACTTCCTTTTGATGTATTAAGGGGAGGGTATTCATATGTCTCATAAATTATAATTGTGTCTAAGAGCTCACAAAAGATGTATCATTCTTGGATTCTTCTTTAAAGATAATTAAGTTTCTAAAAGGAAAGAAGTGGGAGGGAAGAAGGGGAAAAAAGCAAAATCATCTTCCAGACACAATAATTTTGAACAGCCTTTGTCTGGACTGTTGAGGAACAGGTTTTTTTCTTTTTTTTTCTTTTTTTCCCGTTCTTTCTTTTTCTTTATCTTTCTCAGATTAAGTGTTGAACTCTTCACCTAGAACAGAGCTAGTCTTCTGTATATAAAGCTAAATGAAAATAGATCTTGGTGAAGAACAGAGCAGGGAAAAGGAAAGGGAAGAAGAAGAAGGGTGGGAGAGTAGGTGGGAAGAATTACTATGTTCCCGGCCAGCGCCACGGCTCACTTGGCTAATCCTCCACCTGTAGTGCCAGCACCCCGGGTTCTAGTCCCAGCTGGGGCGCTGGATTCTGTCCTGGTTGTCTCTCTTCCAGTCCAGCTCTCTGCTGTGGCCGGGGAAGGCAGTGGAGGATGGCCCAAGTGCTTGGGCCCTGCACCCGCATGGGAGGTCAGGAGGAAGCACCTGGCTCCTGACTTCAGATCGGCGCAGCGCGCAGGCCGTAGCAGCCATCTGGGGGTGAACCAACAGAAAAGAAAGACCTTTCTCTCTTTCTCTCTCTGTCTAACTCTGCCTGTCAAAAAAAAAAAAAAAAAGAAGAAGAAGAAGAAGAAGAATTACTATGTTCCTGATGTTGTATTTATGAGATACATGCAAGTAAAAAAAAAAAAAAAGTAAGGATATCTGCTCAATTACTGAATTCAACTGTCTCCTTTTTAGAAATTAAACCAGAACAAAACAACAAGCATAGGTTACTTAATCATCTGTATGCCAATCACTTTCACATGTAACACTTTTGATAGCTCATCACTATTTCCTAGATTAATTACAAGCTATTCATCCCGGTGTTAAGAATCTTTCCAGCATGGAACTAACATATAAAACTTTACTCAGACTTGACAACTCAACACACAGACACCCCACCTTATAGTTCTCAACTGCATATGAAAAATTTTGCCAAAAACTGACCACATGTCTAGTTATCAAGCAAATCTCAATAAAACTGTAAGGACTGAAATCATACAGAATATACTAACAACACTATGATTCATATATCAGTACTAAAAACAATCAGAAAATCTCCCATCTCCCACATGAATGCAGGGGCACAAGGATTTGGGCTGTCTTCCACTGCTTTTCCCAGGTGTAATAGCAAGGAGCTTGATCAGAAGTGGAGCATGGTGCTTGAACCAGCACCCATATGGGATGTCCACATTGCAGGCTCTGTGCCACAGAGCTGGCCGCATGAGGGAATATTTTCTACATCTTAGCCTGATAAGGTAAAAGTTGCACTGAAATACATAACTTTAGCCCTCAAAAAGGATTATTTACAGCCAACGGTACATCAATAGTTCTTTGAGCTACTCCAAAATTCTGCTAGACTGAATCCATGTATTACAACTAGAAAGTTACATTTTAGGTATGAAAGCCTAAGCTCTAACTGTCCCTCATGCAGACCACAGCTATAGACTCTGGACAACATACAAGCAATAACAAACTGCATGAGAGCTTCAGAGAAAGAACAACAGAGAGCAGTCTGGGGAGAAGTGTCAGAGCTTGGGAAAACAGCGGCTGAGTGCCCCACGCTTTCTGCATTGCTCTGCGGTATGAGGAGGTTCCACCAACTGCCCAGCTGAAGCAAACAGGGTTGCAACTCAGAGCAACCAGAACTAGGTGAGTGTTAGGAGAAAATGCCACTAAGCGCAGACTCAGAAAAAGGGAAGTCTAACATTTTATAAACTTTGCTCCTAACTAAGGAGATACAGGTCGACTTCCTTCAGCCCAAATAAAGAGAAAAAAGAGCTGGACTTTTGTCTGAGCTACTCCTCTCCTCCCTCGCTGTACAGATGATGCACAATTTTCCATTGAGACTAACCGAGTTAATATCAGTGTGAGTCTGACCAACTGACATTTGTTTTAAGTTAAAACAAAACACCAACATTTTCCAGAGAAATACAACAATCCAGAATCTCCACAGCATAACATTTACAACATCCAGCACATGACTCCAAATTATCCAGTTTATGAAAACAAGAAAATGATGACTCATTCTTACATGAAAAGACAATCAATAAAGTTCAACCTTTATTTGACCCAGAATGTAGGAAGGATGATTTCCAGTTTCTTATCAACATTTTAGCTTTTTCCCATTTCAGTTTTCCATGATCAACCAAAATCTGAAAATATTAAATGGAAAAACCCAGACATAACTAGTCACCAGTTTTAAACCACACATCATTCTGAGTAGCAGGACGAAATTTCACGTCTTCTTACTCCATCAGATCCAGGACGTGAGTCATTCCTTTGTCCAACATATCACACTGTGTATGCTACCTGCCTGCTAGTCACTAGGTGGATGTCTCAGTTATCAATAACTGTCATAGTATCTCAGTGCTGGTGTTCAAGTAACCTTTAGATAGTAGCACAATGATAGGTCTCAATGACTATCTCGTTCACCTCAGCTCATCTCATCACATAAACATGCATCATCTTACATCATCACAACAAGAAGAATGGGTATATACAGTCCGATAAGATATCTTGAGAGAGACCACCTTCACATAACTTGTATTATAGTGTATTTTGATAATTGTTTTATTTTTCATTGTTGTTGCTAATCTCTTACTGCAGATAATTTAAAAAATTATACTTTATCATGGATGTAAAAGAAAAACTATAATATATACAGGGTTTAATACTATGTATGGTTTCATTGGGGGTCTTGGAAAGTATCCCCCTGGATAATTGGAGACCGCTATAAAGGCTGTAAAGTGGCCCTATAGTTATGCTACATGTCCTAAAGAAAACTACATTTATAATCAATGAAAAGATAAACTCTTAGCAAAGAAAGAGATAACATCTCTTCCAAAATAATGATTAAAAATAACTGCTAAAATTGAAAATATAGATTATATAGAAATATAACCCTGAAACAGACAAAACAATGTCACAAAAAGGGCTTATTGGTAGAATAAAGAACATGAAGACATTTTCAGATAAAGGACAACAAAGGAAATCTGTCACCAGCAAATCTATACTATATGAAATGTTAAATTGAGACATTCACTCCACAGGCGAATAACACACACCACACACACACACACACACACAATGAATAACACAAGAAACGGCATCTGGAAATTCACTATTGCCTTTTTTAAATATATGTACCATTTGGCCCCTTAGACATTTAGCAATTGCAGAATATTAAACCTGGAGAGAGAATTAAGATCATATATCACAGCCACTTCATTTTACAGATGAAACATGTGAGGCTCCAAAAAAGAAGTGAGCACCCTGCTCAAGGCCATGAAGCAAGCTGATGTCCCCAGCAAAGCCTAGCATCTCTACACTGTCATGCTATGTCAACCTCTCAGCACCAACCGCAGACACACTGCAGATCCAGAACTGACTGTATTAGCAAGCCTTCTGAACTGTAACTTCTCTATGCTTCAGTTTTTTAATCTATACAATTGGTTTATAGTTGTATCTGCCTGATAGGGTTCTCATGAGATTTTGAAATCAAAATACAGAAAGTACAGCCTGGCTCCTCCAAGGTGCAGTATTGCACCCAACCAATGAGAATGCCTTCTGCTTGCATTTTCTAAAGCCTGGCTATATCCCTCTGCTGACTTATTCCAAGATGAAAAACAATGGGGCAAAATGGAATAAGGTTAGAAAGAAGAGAAGATCACAGACTGGAAGTCTCATTTATTCTTGCTCCACTAACTACTGTCTCATTGTAGTGTGAGAACTCCTGGTGAAATTATGAAAAGAAAAAAAGCCACTCCTCATACCTTTGGAATCAGAGACAACCATTAGCAAAAGCAATGTAAAGCAGGACATGTAATAACACTTAGGATCAATCAGACAAGTATTCTGTGTTTTTCTAATAAATAAAATGGAATTTAGATAATACAGTATTGCAGTAGTCACTGATGACAGAAGAAAAATACACAATCTTAACACACACTGCCACTTAACTAAGCCTTCGTGACTAAAATCCAATAACATTTTCTCTACTTCTGATTTGTCAAACCTATTTATCACAGCACAGTAAGAATGTCCCAATATAAATTGACCCAGATAGCAAAAAATGAAAACAAAACAAGGCTTATCTCACATGTCATCAGCATTCTTAGTAAAAGCATGTACAACAAGAGACAAATATTGTAATTAAGCATGAAGGCAGTGATATAATCACATCCCCTGTGAGGCAGAATAAAATGTATCAGGAAGCACTTTGGGGAAGGGCTGGCATTTCATTTTACAACAGATTTCTTGGATACAGAAGACCAGAACATTCATAAGATCCCCCCAGAATTATAGTTAAAGTCAGAGTTGTTGCTGCTGTACCAGTCTGCTTACCATTTCTTCAACATACGGGTAAAGCATGTCTCCAAAGTATTCTGTAGCTTCGATCGGAAGCTGTGCAGGCAAATTGTCAATGGAACACATCAGAATCCCAGAGCCTTCAACACTAGGAAAGGCAATATGCTTTAATCAGATGTACAAAATGTTATTTGGAAGTACTAATTCTCCCAGATGTCTACTCCATTATATTTGCTTCATTGGCACTTGTAATTTTGTGCAAAAGAATGTAAGAAAATAACTGGCATTCAGACAAAACTTTTCCCTTCTTTCACAACCCACCTCCCATTTAAACATATTATATGTGCTTAAGTGTACAAATCTGCATGTGATATTTCAACCAGACTTTTAAATATGTTCGTTTGAGTTTATCCAAAATTTACAGACCTTCATAAAGATGTGAAATATTGAGTATTTTAGATGAGTGTACCCAAATAAGTAACACATCACTCACCACCTAACAGATTTGGCAAACTCACCTGTCATGAATAATATGCTGGTCAGCATCATACATGCAAAAGGGACGCTCTATTGTGGTACACTCAGTCATAAACTCTATAGATCCTCCTGTGTCTGCTGAAATGTCACATATTGCCACAAGTCTGAAAACAATGTCAGTGCTTAGATAAGAGGATGGAATTCTGAAGCTTCTAACAAGACTAAAAATTAATAAAAATGAAATGTTCTTGTAACAGTTTTCAATGTGAATGCCAAATCCCTTGGGCTCTTTCCTTCAGCTCATTCTTCAGGACACTGTGTTATTCTGGGACATAGAAACCTTCCCATATGAGTTTGAGTCACCACAAGAGGAGTTGGAGGGAGGGAGGGAGGGAGGGAGGGAGAGAGGGAGGGAGAGAGGAGAGGAGAGGAGAGGAGAGAAAATAAAAAGAAAAATTAAGAGAGGCAGGTAGAGGGTGGAAAAAAAATGAAGCAAAAATGAAAAATCCCTTCCCTATAGAAATCGTTAACAAAAAAACTAAAGTTAACCTAGTTAACCATCTCTAAATAACTCAGAAATGTTCAGCTACACTATCTGTGTTTAGTACTACAAAATTTCATGTAAGTACACAGGATCTTTAAAATATGAGCAAAAGTCTGAGCCCAACATTCAAAAGTCTTATAAGCTAGATGACAATTCTGCTGCCAACTTCTAATCACCACCAGCCTACAAGAATCTACAAGAGAACTAGACTGTCACAGTCTTAAACTGTATTTTGGAGGCAGGTATTTATCAAGCATCAATCCTATCACCTGAAATTCTCCTTCTCCCCACTCCTCCATTTGCAGACTTTGTTGAGCCCAGTGCTCCCACTTTGGGCTAAACTCCTGTGATACGGTTGCTCTTGACATTCCCTTGGCATTTATGTGATGCCAGCTGCATGCCTGAGGGCAGCAAACATTATCTTTTACTCTTATCCTTCAGCTTAGCGATGCAGATATAAATTAAAAAAAAAATAGAAATTCCAGATAGACCAGGTGTTCCACAAGTACTAACTGATTGATTATTAATTATATGAATGCCCTTTATACATCAGCTAAGTCCTGGTGTTTATAGCTAAGGTAAACAAGGATCCAGAGACTAAGCTCTATTAGGAGAGTGAAAAATCACAGACACAAGAAAATAAATGATCATGAATAGAAAAGAAGAGAGAAACAGAATAGATAGGGAATGAGGATTCAGAGAAGTTGTCTCTGAGGAGGTTGATTTGGAGCTGCGTGTGGAGTCACAGAAGGCAAAAGCAGAGAGTTCCAAGCAGGGACAGTGAATGTGTCAAGTGCTGCAAGGAGGCTGAATAAGATAAAGCAGACAGGTAGTCATTAAAAATCAAGCCTGGGGCAGGCATTTGGTACAGCAGTTAGGATGCTGCCTGGGACACCTGAATCCCATGTCAGTGTGCCTGGGTTCAAGTCCCAGCTCAGCTCCAAATTCCAGCTTTATGATAATGAACTCTTAAGGAGGCAGTGGGTGAAGGTTCAAGTACTTGAGTTCCTGCCACCCATGTGGGAGACCCCAGTTGAGCTCTAAGGTCCTAGTTTCATCCTGACTGAGCCCTGGCTGTTGTCGATTCTTGGGGAGTAAACCAACAAATCAAAGACCTCTCTCTCTCTCTCTCTCTCTCTCTCCCTGCCTTTCAAATAAATAAAAATAAGCAAATAAAATTTAATTTTTTGAAGATTTACTTATTTGAGAAGCAGAGTTACAGACATAGAGAGGGAGAGGCATAGAGAGAGGTCCTCCATCCACTGGTTCATTCCCCACTTTGCAGCTGGGCCAATCCAAAGCCAGGATCCAGGAGCTTCTTCTGGGTCTCCCATGGGGGTGCAGGAGCCCAAGCACTTGGACCATCTTCCATTGCTTTCCTAGGCCATTAGCAGAGAGTTGGATTGGAAGTGGAGCAGCCGGGACACAAACTGGCTCCCATACAGGACGCTGGTGCTGAAGGTGGAAGCTTAACATACTGTGCCGGCCCCAACAAATAAAATCTAAAAGAACAGTGAAGCCCTGTGATGTGTCGGTATAACATATTCTCTGATCTCTTAATAACAGATGCTGCCGATTAAAAAGTGCCATTGTCACTGAAGTAATCTCCTTACTTGTGTGGTAATGCAGGGCAGCCTTCAACTCCAGTCACTGAGAACTTGCCTGGGGCTAGGAGACTCTGGGCATCTTGGCGGGTTAGTAGGCGAGGGGTGTTTTGTTCCCAGTAGATCCCATTAATTAAACAAGTTGTATAGGGTGCAATCTGTAAAGCAAATTCCCAGTTCAACAAAATAGAAAATGGCTTTCTCTTTCAATACAGCCTGCTGAATGAGAGGTACCAGCAAAGTCCATGAGAAATAATTAACAGGACTTTCTTATTTTCCAGGTCAGTGGTCATCTTTGAATGAAGATATTAAAGACCCACCCATATTTCATTGTGGAATTACCCCAGGAGAAATGAACATAATAAACACTATATTATCATTTTTATTTTATCATGTATTTAATAGAAAAGGGAAGAACAGAGTCAAGTGACCTAAAATTCTATTTCCAACTCAAAAACAAGTACTGTGTGATTGAAATCATGCTACCTTGACTTCTCTGGGCTCTGTTTTCCTTACCTGCCAGATGGGGATAATACGTACCCCATTCCTCCAAGGAATGCTATGAAGATTAAGTCAGATAACATCTGTAAGCTCCATGGAGAAATGTGCTATAGATATGCATATGTATACATGGTAACTATGTATTACAAGTGTTAGGATGCATCCAATCACCAATACTTCTGTGATTGGGGAAAAAAGAAGGGATGGAAATTTACTAGATTCAAAAATTTCTAGTTTCCTAATTTTTGTTCCTCAAGCAGCTCAAGCATCCTCAAGCTCAAGGAAAGAATCCTTGCAATGTGCTGTACATACTTAAACAGCTAAATTTTAGGCCAGAACCTAAAAATGCTGTTATTCAAACATAGTTAAAATTACTTAAATCATTCATTTCACAAGGAATATAGGCATTTTTGTGTTTATTGTTTGTTTTGTTGGAGGACTGCCACAAGATCAATGACTAAAGAACACACAAATAAATTGTACTCTTGAAAGATAAGGCCAGCATGCCCCATCACAGTGATTTGACTCACAAATAGGTTCTTTGTACAGTGAAGATGAGTCTGTCCTTATACAACTACACTATTTCACTCTGGCCCCAGGCACTCAGTCACATGCATTTCAAGATGGCTGGCTGAAGTCATGATCGCAATTTCTGGCCATGGAAAGGAGAAACCGATGCTGAGATCAAACCTCACAGACATTGTTCTTCGCCAATAGTACTGATTAGACTGAGATGATACGGAAAATATCCACAGGAAAAGGTTTAGACCAATTGTGCACATGCAGAACTGAGGTGAAAAAAGAGACTATGAAGTAGAGGCAAACCCACAGAACCCACCAAAGCCACTAGCAAGTATTCCAAGCTCTAGTGAAAAACCAGCATCTCCCAAGACCAACTCATGATATCCAAAGCATTCACAAGTCCAGATGAGGAAATGAGAACCAACATACGCATGCATAATCTCTCTCCCTAATAGCCCAACTACAGTGTCTCAAATAGGATACTCACGTCAGTATTAAAGCGACTTATGTAACGCTCAGGGTATTTGTCATACTCTACAGGATCATAGACACCATCTGTTTTCCTGACAAGATGATGATGGCGACTTAACACTGTCCCATACACCTTTCTGAGGTCTTGCAGAGAAGAAAGAAATTAGTATAGTGGGTGACAAATGATAAGGATACACTATGATAGAATATTACAACATAGGACTATTAAAAACAGTAAAAAATGCAGCTACATTCTCCTCCCCTTACCTCCAGTTTGGGAAACTTCTCTTAATTCATGGGGTTCCACATATTCACAGGGTAGTTCATTAAAGATTTCTTGGGCTCCCTATAAGTAATATATCAGTAAAAATCTAAACAACAGGGAAAAAGGCAACACCATTTCCTGCAAATATCCCACTTATTTTCCCTACAATTATATAACTTCACATTCTGTCCTGTAGCCAAGGCAGACACACAGAATTCTAGACAAGCTGCTTGCACATGGCCCGCCGTGAGTCACCTTTCATTCCAGTGTAACCAAAACACGATTGCTATGGGGGCTTTATTTTTTTTTTTTAACCTAACTTACTCAAACTAGCAACAAGAGTGTTTAGCAATGAGGATATAAAAATATTTACTTTTAACCCATTGCAAAAATTACTCCAAATGAGGACACTGTTTCCTGAAAGATAAAAAATAAGATGCCTACTTCACAATATACTACTAACAAAGATATCCTGTTTGTGAAATATTTCCTTTGAAGAAAGATCTATTTGGTAATTACAAGTTTATATGGAAGATTACACGTGTATTCTCAAAACCACCTTAGGAGGAAGAAAGTATAGTTCCAGCCTTGAATTAATCTTCCTAGTATCTTATTGGCAACTCCTGGAGTCACTTCCAAACATTTGGACATCTCAGTAATAGAGGTAAAACACATTAGCCTAAGATAACCTATACACTGTTAATAATGACTCAAACTGAAAAAGAGAGAAAAGGAGAGGGAGAAAGGGAGAGAGAGAGAAGTAAAGCATCCCAAGCATGTGGTAGCTTAGAATTAACTGAAAACAATTAAAATGTTTGGACCATTATTGCTCTTCACTAAGAGGAAAATTCATAGGTAAGAAAAATGCCTAAAATAGAATACCCTTCTTTCAATTTTAAATATCCACTAAATGCCCATATCACTTAGGTTTGTTTCAGAGCTTCAGACTGCTTTACAGTAAAAAGAAAGGTGGAATTTACCTTAGATACATTTCCAGTCCCTGTGAACACAAATGTTAGGGGACCTATTGACTTTGGCATCAAACCCAGAGAGATTTCGTAACCAGCATCACGGACAGCTTGCACAGCCTGACTGCTGTTCCTGTAGTTATGAGCCATGCCGATGTGCTGAAAGCAAGCACACACAATTCAAGTTAGCCCATCGTCTGATATATTTTCTATTCACAAAATATGTTACGCATTTTCAAAAACTAAACATATCTCACCATAAAAGGAGTGTGATGTCCCAGAGCAAGGAGCCTTAAACCCATTCCATGTAGAATGTTTATCATCCCTATTGCAGAATCAGACCAATAGAAAGACCATTAGTTGAGAGGAGTTAAAACTGTCTCTCTGAACACTCTCCAACCTGCTCAGTGTCCTGAGGAAGCACAGATCTCTACATCTGGGATTTGGACTACACAATGGCAGACCATATCCATGCCCTCTATTTTCTGCCATCACATGCACTAACCCAGCTGCATCCCCAAGTATTCCTTCCACTTTTCATCTTGACAAATGGCAAAGTTAATTTCTTCTTTATAGACTTGACTCTCCACCTTGGCTCCAGATCCCTTCACTTCCTGTCTCCTTAAGGAATGTATTTTTTTTTTTTTTTTTGACAGGCAGAGTTAGACAGTGAGAGAGAGAGAGAGAAAGGTCTTCCTTTCCGTTGGTTCACCTCCCAAATGGCCGCTACGGTCGGTGCGCTGTGGCCAGCGTGCTGCGCTGATCCGAAGCTAGGAGCCAGGTGCTTCCTCCTGGTCTCCCATGCGGGTGCAGGGCCCAAGGACCTGGGCCATCCTCCACTGCACTCCCGGGTCACAGCAGAGAGCTGGACTGGAAGAGGAGCAACCAGGACAGAACCGGCACCCCAATGGAGACTAAGAATGTACTCTTGATTCAGTTCCTCCTCTAATACAGCAATGTAGCAATCCTAGCTTGTTTACAGTTAGTGTTTTTACAGTATATCTTTCCTCAACATTTTTTTCTTAACTTACTTGTATCTTTTTTTAAAGATTTATTTATTTGGAAGACAGAGTTACAGAGAGGCAAAGGCAGAGAGAGAGAAGGGGTTCTTCCATATGCTGGTTCACTCCCCAGATGGGCACAATGGCTGGAGCTGCACCAATCTGAAGCCAGGAGCTAGGAGCATCTTCTGGTTCTCCCAAGAACTTGGGCCATCCCCCACTGCTTTCCCAGGCCACAGCAGAGAGCTGGATTGGAAGTGGAGCAGCAGGAACTCGAACTGGTGCCCATATGGAATGCAGGCATTGTAGGCATTGGCTTTACCTGCTACGCCACAGTGCCAGCCTCTACTTGTATCTTTATACTTAAATTGAACAACTTATAAACAAAATATTACAGGATCTTACCTCATTATTCTTTGAAAAGTTGGAGTTTCAAGGCAGTCATTTGTTCTGCTGGTTAAGATGCTGAAAAGGTCTCATCTCACATCATAGTGCATGGGTTCTATATCTGCCTCTGGTTCCCATACCTGCCTCTTGGAGGCTGTGGTGATGGCTCAAGTAATTGAGCTTCTACCACCCACATGGGAGACTTGGATTGAATTCCCAGCTCCCCTCATCAGGCATAGGCCAGCCCTGGCCCAGTTCACAGTTAATCAATCTCTCCCCCTCCCCCGCCTCTCAAATTCATAAATCAATTTCTTTTCTTTAACTTTTATTTAATAAATATAAATTTCCAAAGTACAGCTTATGGATTACAATGGTTCCCCCCCCATAACTTCCCTCCCACCTGCAACCCTCCCCTCTCCCGCTCTCTCTCCCATTCCATTCACATCAAGATTCATTTTCAATTATCTTTATATACAGAAGATCAATTTAGTATATATTAAGTAAATATTTCAACAGTTCACACCCACACAGAAACACAAAGTGTAAAGTACTGTTTGAGTACTAGTTATAGCATTAATTCACATTGTACAACACATTAAGGACAGAGATCCTACATGAGGAGTAAGTGCACAGTGACTCCTGTTGTTGACTTAACAAATTGACACTCTGGGTTACGGCGTCAGTAATTACCCTAGGCTCTTGTCATGAGTTGCCAAGGCTACGGAAGCCTTTTGAGTTCGCTGACTCTGATCTTATTTAGACAAGGTCATAGTCAAAGTGGAAGCTGTCTCATCCCTTCAGAGAAAGATACCTCCTTCTTTGATGACCTGTTCTTTCCACTGGGATCTCACTCACCGAGATCTTTCATTTAGGGTTTGTGGTTTTGGTTTTTTTGTTTGTTTGTTTTTGTGGTTTGGTTTGGTGTTTTTTGTTTTTGTTTTTGTTTTTTTGCCAGAGTGTCTTGGCTTTCCATGCCTAAAATACTCTCATGGGCTCTTCAGCCAGATCCGAATGCCTTAAGAGCTGATTCTGAGGCCAGAGTGCTGTCTAGGACATCTGCCATTCTATGAGTCTGCTGTGTATCCCACTTCCCATATTGGATCGTTCTCTCCGTTTTTTATTCTATCAGTTAGTATTTGCAGACACTAGTCTTGTTTATGTGATCCCTTTGACTCTTAGACCTATCATTATGATCAATTGTGAAGTGAAACTGATCACTTGGATTAGTGAGATGGCATTGGTACATGCCACCTTGATAGGATTGAATTGGAATCCCCTGGCATGTTTCTAACTCTACCATTTAGAGAAAGTCAGATTGGGCATGTCCCAAATTGTATATCACCTCCCTCTCTTATTCCCACTCTTATATTTAACAGAGATCACTTTTCAGTTAAATTTAAACACTTAAGAATAATTATGTGTTAATTACAGAGTTAAACCAATAGTATCAAGTAGAACAAAAAAATAATAAAAGAGATAAAGTATTAAGTTGTTCATCAACAGTCTGGACAAGGGCTGATCAAGACCACAATGAGGTTTCACCTCACCCGGGTGAGAATGGCTCACATACAGAAATCTACCAACAACAGATGCTGGAGAGGATGTGGGGAAAAAGGGACACTAACCCACTGTTGGTGGGAATGCAAACTGGTTAAGCCACTATGGAAGTCAGTCTGGAGATTCCTCAGAAACCTGAATATAACCCTACCATACAACCCAGCCATCCCACTCCTTGGAATTTACCCAAAGGAAATGAAATTGGCAAACAAAAAAGCTGTCTGCACCCTAATGTTTATTGCACCTCAATTCACAATAGCTAAGACCTGGAATCAGCCCAAATGCCCATCAACAGTAGACTGGATAAAGAAATTATGAGACATGTACTCTATTGAATACTATACAGCAGTAAAAACAGTGAAATCCAGTCATTTGCAACAAAATGGAGGAATCTGGAAAACATCATGCTGAGTGAAATAAGCTAGTCCCAAAGGGACAAATATCATATGTTCTCCCTGATTGGTGACAACTAACCGAGCACCAAAAAGGAAACCTGTTGAAGTGAAATGGACACTATGAGAAACAGTGACTTGATCAAGTACATAAATCAATTTCAATTGGAGTTTTTAGGCCATTGATATAACTATTGATATAGTTGAATTTTAAATCACCACATTGCAGGAGTGGGTGTTCAGCTTAGTGGTTAAAATGTTTGTGCCCTAGAGGGTGCTTGGGTTAGATTCCTGGCTCTGGGAGGAAACAGTAGACCCTGGAAGGCAGCAGTGATGGCTCAAGTAATTGGGTTCCTGCTTCCCACATGGGAGACCTGGATTTCATTCATGGCTCCTGGCTCTGGCTCTGGCCCTGGTCCAACCCAGTCCTGACTGACGTAGGAATTTTAGAAGTGAAGTAAACTACCCATGGGAGATAACACTCATATACACTCTTTCTCTCTGCCTCAATTCCTTCAAATAAATAAAAATAATTTTTCAAAAAAAATTACCATAGTTACACATTGTTATTTGTGTTCTTCTTACTCCCATTTGTTCTTTGTTACCTTTTATCTTTTCTTGTATATTTGCATGAATTTTTTACTTTATAGTATTAAAACATCTCCAACATTTTATTTTGGTTTTAGTGATTCTTCTAGGTTACAATATGCTTCTTCAACTTATCATAGTCTACTATCAAATAATATCATGCCATTTGGGGAATAATTTGCCCTATTTATGATGTAAGTTTTATTTCTACAAATGCTATACATGTCACAACATACTGTTTCTTCTAAACTCTCAATTATCTTTTAAAGAAAAATTTAAAAATAGGAAATCTTTAATATTTCTTTACACTTGATCATTTCTAGTATACTTATTCCTTCTGTTAGTTCCATATTTCCAACTGGTTTCATTTTCCTTCTGGCTAAAAACTTTATGTAATATTACTTCTATGGCAATAACTTGTCTTGGCTTTGATTTGGCCAAAAAGGCTTTATTTCACATTCATTTATTGGAAATATATCGTTGAAAGACATATATCCTTTAGGAAGATTTTATCACTATATAGAATTCTAGGGTGACTTTTTTTTTTCCTCTCAGCACTTGAAAGATACTGCTCCACTTTCTTTTGACTTGAAATTTTTGGGACCAGAAGTCTGTGATATTTCTTACCTTTGTTCCTATGAACATATTGTGCCTTTCCATTGACAGTTCTTAATTTTTCCTTATGCAATGATCTCTAGTGAAATAATTACAAGGTTCCTAGTATGGTTTTCTTTGTACAGGTATGTGCATGTGTTTAGGCCTGGGTTTTTTAAAACTTCACTTTTCTGTGAATTTTGAATTTTTATTAAAATGTTGGAATGTTTTAGTCATACTTATTTAAATTTTTGCTTCCTTTATCATTGCAATTAAAACATGATGATGAACAGAAATAAAAAGCTGAGACAAAAATAACCAAGTTTAAGTGACCAGTCCTGATCAAGTATTCCAATATACATATATGTGTATTTAGGATCCCAGAAGGAAAGCAGGCAAGGAGAAAAACAAGCCTTGGAAGGATAAACCTAATCCTTATACAATTGACTATCAGAATATATCCCAGGAGCCAGCATTATGGCAAAGCCAAAGCTGCCACCTGAGAGGCCAGCATCCCATATGGGCACCAGTTCACGTCTCAGTTGCTCCATTTTCAATCCAAGCATCCAGCTAATGTCCTGAAAGAAGCAACAGAAGATGGCCCAAGTTCTGGGTCCCTGCCACAGACGTGGGAGACCCAGATGAAGCTTTTGGTTTCTGGCTGTGACCTGGTCAAGCCATGGTCATTGTGGCCATTTGGGAAGTACACCAGTGGATAGGAGATCTCTTCCTCTTTTTCACACACACTCTCCCTCCATCTCTCTCTGTAATTCTTTCAAGCAAATAAATAAAACTTTTAAAAAAAT